AAAACCGTGATAGGGGCAATTTTTTAAAACTTGAGATTAAACATTTTTGAAACTCTTTTAATTGATATTTTCATGACTTTGAAATAAAAGAGAAAAAAACATTTTTTTTTTCAAACAAGACAGTCTCTCTAGAGTGAATCTTGGTAAATGACATGTGACTCTCAAACACAAAGCTCATGCTTAATCAATGATGAAGCAAGAAATGAGGAACATTTGGGGCATCTTTGAAGATTCAACATCAAATATTGGGGCATTTTTGGATATTGAGGCATCTTTGGGGATTCATCATCCTAATGCGAATTATCAGACCTTTTTCAGGAGATAAATATAACCAATTCATGTTACATGCATCTTATGTATACATTTTAGAGTGTCATATCTATCATTTTCTTCCCACATACATAATTTTTGCAGATTTTAGAGTCAAGTTTCGACTTCAAGACGAAGGATACTCGAATCAAAAGCACCTTTAAAGATTTATGTTGGTTGCTTAACTCAGCAGCAAGAAGCTACACTTCAACCAATTTGACATATTGAAAGATCGACAGATCTTAGAATCAACTTCAGACGAGTTCGAGAGATAATTCAAAATCGATCCAGTTCGCATTTTCAAGTTGGATTTCAACTTCACGACGAAGGATATCCAATTCCTGGCTCAACTTCACGACGAAGGGGCCACCCACGATTTCAACTTCACGACGAAGGGAATCGTGCTCACCATTGTCTCTCTTGAGACAGTTTCCCTTGAAATGAATTTCGTCTTTCTTGAGATAATTTCCCTTGAAACAAATTTTGTCTCCTTTGAGACAGTTTCTCTTGAAACACAAAATCTTTGAGATTGTTTCCCTCGAAACAAATTTTGTCTCCTATGAGACAGTTTCTCTTGAAACACAAAATCTTTGAATTTATCTCCCTTAAAACAAAATTTCGTTTCTCATGAAACAACAGATATCTTTGAAATCGTTTCCCTTGAAACGAATTATGTCGCTTTTGAGGCAATTTCTCTTGAAGCGTCATCTTTGAATATGTTTTCCTTGGAACTAATTTCATCTCCCCGTGAGACAATTTCTTTTGGAACTAAGTTTTATCTCTCTTGAGACAGTTTTTCTTAAAACAAAATTTTGTCTCCCTTAAGACCGTTTCCCTTGAAACAACAGATATCTTTGAGATCGTTTCCCTTGAAACGAATTCTATCTCTTTCAAGACAACTTCTTTTGAAGCATCATCTGAACTGTTACACTCAGCTCAGGCACATACTTGAGATGGTCGAGAAGCATTTCTCAAATCAAAAATAGAATGTGCACATCAGATTTGAACATTTGAAGAATTCAAGATCAGGGATCAAAATTTAAAGATTCAAGAATCAAGATTCCAGACAGGCAACTGGAGATCGAGATTTCTCTCCAGAGCCCCAAGATAACATATGTTGCATATGCATTTTAGGCACACCTAAGAGCATTGCATCCATAGCATCACATATATGCATAACTTTTTTTTAGCTAGAGTCAATTCAACTTCGCGGCGAAGGATATTGCACTCAAAGTGACACAATTTGCTCGAGAGTGGATTTCAACTTCACGACGAATGATATCTAGCTCGAAGCTATACTTCACAACGAAGGGGCCATTCGCGATTTCAACTCCACGACGGAGAATATCGTGGCACTCGAGACAACACAAGTTCAACTTCACAACGAAGGGACGGCTGGTTGTCAACAAACAACTTCTCAATTTCAGAGCCAATTTCAACTTCACAACGAAGGATATTGGACTCCAGACAACGCAAGTTCAACTTCACGACGAAGGGACCGCTGGTTGTCAATAAACAATTTTCCCAATTTCAGAGCCAATTTCAACTTCACAACGAAGGATATTGGACTCCAGACAACGCAAGTTCAACTTCACGACGAAGGACCGCTGGTTGTCAACAACAACTTCCCAATCTCAGAGCCAATTTCAACTTCACAACGAAGGATATTGGACTCCAGACAATGCAAGTTCAACTTCACGACGAAGGGACCGCTGCTTGTCAACAACAACTTTCCAATCTCAGAGCCAATTTCAACTTCACAACGGAGGATATTGGACTCCAGACAACGCAAGTTCAACTTCACGACGAAGGGACCGCTGGTTGTCAACAACAACTTCCCAATCTCAGAGCCAATTTCAACTTCACAACGAAGGATATTGGACTCCAGACAATGCAAGTTCAACTTCACGACGAAGGGACCGCTGCTTGTCAACAACAACTTTCCAATCTCAGAGCCAATTTCAACTTCACAACGGAGGATATTGGACTCCAGACAACGCAAGTTCAACTTCACGACGAAGGGACCGCTGGTTGTCAACAACAACTTCCCAATCTCAGAGCCAATTTCAACTTCACAACGAAGGATATTGGACTCCAGACAATGCAAGTTCAACTTCACGACGAAGGGACCGCTGCTTGTCAACAACAACTTTCCAATCTCAGAGCCAATTTCAACTTCACAACGGAGGATATTGGACTCCAGACAATGCAAGTTCAACTTCACGACGAAGGGACCGCTGCTTGTCAACAAAATTTCATTCAGAGCCAATTTCAACTTCACAGCGAAGGATATTGGACTCCAGACAATGCAAGTTCAACTTCACGACGAAGGGACCGCTGTTTGTCAACAACAACTTCCCAATCCCAGAGCCAATTTCAACTTCACAACGAAAGATATTGGACTCCAGACAACGCAAGTTCAACTTCACGACGAATGGACCGCTGCTTGTCAACAAAATTTCATTCAGATTCAATTTCAACTTCACAACGAAGGATATTGACTCGAGACAACACAAGTTCAACTTCACAACGAAGGGACGGCTGGTTGTCAACAAACAATTTCCCGGTTCCAGAGCCAATTTCAACTTCACGACGGAGGATATTGGACTTGGAACAATGCTACTTACTTGGATTTCAACTTCACGACGAAGGATATCCAACTCAAAGAAAGATTATCTACCATCAAAATTGTCGAGTTCGACTCCATTCAGCTCGATGACACATCAATCACACTACTTTTCGATTGCAGTCGAGGTTTTCAAGTCGAGAAGAGGACCTGGGTTAGCCGTGCCTTAGTGACAAGCAACCATTTTCAAACAGCATAGCTTAAGTCAAGAAAAAGCTATCTGTCAATGAAGATTTTTGAGTTCGATTCCGATCCAAGGTCTTTAAACCGAGAAGAAGACCGAAGGGCAACGAGAAGCCACGTTCTGATTCAAATTCCGAACTACGGCTTCAATTTCATATCATTCCAAGATGAACTCGGCTTCACGACGGAGGAGTCATCCGTAACTCAATTCGACAGGGAGTTATTGAAACATCAGAGTCAATTTTCAACTCCACCGAACGAAAAGTGTGTCTTTTAATCTTTGCCCTATCCCCGTTACACGACTATGGGCAAAGAGGGGCAGCTGTCAACACACCTTTTCGTCCTACTAGAATTCAAACTCCTAAAGATAGGATAGAATTTTGCTAGGATTCAAAAAATATGATAGAGTTCTACTATGATTTAAACTCCTAAAGATAGGATCCACAAGCACTATAAATAGTCATTGTAACTCACTATTGTAAGACACGATTTATACACAAAACATAGAGGAAAGCACGGGAAGATACAAAGGCAAAGCTATTGTAAAGGATTCGAAAAGGAAATAAAAGGTAGTATTTTCTTTTTTCTTTCTTTTGCATGTGCACGTTATTTTTTTGAGATTTGGTTCGAATAACCCAAAACGTGGGTTGCGCCGATGACCAAAATGGTGGGGTTTCGAAGTTTCGAACCTAGATCTACCTCGAGGCTTATTTTTAAAAACCGGTTTGATTTTCGGTTAAAGGAGGGAAAGAGCTTTTTAAAAATCTATTAGTCCCTTTATTTTTATATGGATATTTTATTCATTTATTTTTATTATTCATGTATTATTATTATATGTATATATATATTAAATTATTTTCATTTGATTTTTACTATATTTTATTATTATTATTATATATATTTCTTTAATATTTTACTTATAAGTCTAATATTACTATATATATATTAATTATCTTTATCTAGTCGTATATATTTTTTATACTTTTAATAGTTTATTTATATACATATTATTAAAATATATATTCTTAATTATTTTTATTTGATTATTTCTTTATTTATGTAATATCTTATAACTTTATATATTTATATATTTTTTATTATTTTCGTTTTTTTTATTCATTATTATATTATTATTTTTTAAAAAAAACCTTGTGTCTTTATCATTATCATTATTAAACATTATATTATATACTACTAACCTAAGGGCCCATTTTTTTGTCTTATTTATTATTAGAGCCCCCCATTTTCGGTGAATTGGGAGGGTATTTTTCTATTTTAAGTATTTGGTGTACATATATAGCTTATTTATTTTATTAATACTTTGATATATATATATTTATATTTTTCCTTTTTTCAAATATTACTATATATAATTATTACTTTACTATTTTTCTTATCTTACTTACTTATTTTATTTATTTTATTTTTCCCTTGTATCTTATTTGTTTTCTTTACCTTGTTTATCTAACACATTTCTCGATTTTTTTTCAAATCAATCAAGGGTAAGTAATTAGGATCGAAACTTTACCTTTTAATTTAACTTGTTATTTTTCTTAATTAAGACAACTGGAAATTACGTAGTACCGAAAGGGCGGTTCAAGGGTGCTAATCCTTCCTTGACCGTAACCGACTCCCGAACCCGACATATTTCTGGTAAGACGCAGATCAGGTAAGAAATAGGGTATCCGATCAACCCATTTATTTTTAAATAAATGATCGGTGGCGACTCCAATCCACATTTTTCAAGTCGAAGCCCAATTCCGGGGCCCAACCGAAAGACGGTTGCGACACCTATATTTTCAATCTCTCTAATTTATTGCGAGAAACCCTTAGAATATAATCTGAATCTTGTTTTTCTTCATTTGGGTTTGGGTGGCAAAAGGCTCGCGATGCTTTCTATTCGTGCTTGGAAAATCACTCGGACAAGAAACCCACTGAAATCGGATCAGTGGGACTCCTGTACCCCACTGAATGCAAAAGATCCAGGGAGGAATACGTGAATAATTGCCGGGTTTCTTGGGTAACTAATTCTTTTCTAATCTTAGTTATTTAACCATAAATTCTGTTCCATCCTTCCCTGTTTTTGATCTTTGGCTGCATTTGGTTTCTTTTTCTTTTTCTTCTCTTTTGGTTTGGATTGCTTTTAGGTGAAGCATTTTGATAGGCAGTATTGTAAGACTAAGCGGACGCAGAGGCTGCTTGATGATAAGGAAACGAGGAGAGGTCCGTTGTTACTTCCACAGCCTTACACTTTCAAGCCCCCAACCTCTTCTTAAATGCTTATAGAAGCTTTTGGACTGTTGGGGGATTCTTTAGCTTGATGAAATTGCACTCTGTTTAGTGTTTAGGATATACAGTGACATAATGCTTACTCATTTTGATGGGAAACTGGATATCTGGTAAAGAAGTGATATTGGTTTATGAATTTGGCTTGTTATTGCCTTTTTGTTCAATAATATCATTTATTTTGTGATTCATGGTGATTTTTGTTCATAGTGACTCAATGCTTCCTAAAAATGTTAATAAATGATGCTACAATTCTAGGAGCAACGAGTGGTATTATTGATGAATTTGAAGTGATTAGTACTCATCAGGTTAAGTCTATTTATTTTTGGCAGGGGTGTAAGGCTTGGGTTGGGCCACTAATGAAGATTGGACCATCATAGTCTATCACTGAGATGTCCCCAATGATGTGGATTTACAATTTGCTGAACCATTGGGGATTTGTTAATTTCTTGTATTCTATAACCCATCTGTTAATTCAGGCATACCTAGGAAGATGTCTGTTTGAGGTTTTGATTGTGAAATGAACTTATGCAACTGTTGGCTTTCCATATTATATCAATTAAACTTGCGTTTGTACCATTTAAATGTCTAGTAGTTTTCTTCTTCTTACCGTGCGCAGGTCTGTATGTTGAGAGGCATTTATTCTTTTTCAATTCTTTTAACTTTCTGTTCACAACTCTATATCAAACTTGTCATCAATTATTCTTCATATGTTTCCTGTTCTAAGTTTAGACTATCTCTTATTCTATGTATAAGACTTGCATTGCTTTGTTATTTTTCTTCGTAATGACTCGGTACTGTTTCATCTATCCTTTGGTATGAATTCTTCTCCGGTTTCCTTTTGCCATCTAGTTGTTGATATTTGTTTTTTCCATTGCTCTCAAGGTATGTTTTTAGCTGCACTTGCAGCTAAGCATTTTGCAACAAAAGTGCCTTAGATCATTTCAGCGAGGTTCATTTTGTCAGGCACATGCCAGGTATCCATAGGTACACTTTTTTTTTGTAAGGCAATAGGCATACATACAAAAGCCAGCCGGAGATCAAACTCTATGCTTCTGGATATTTAAGCATTCAAAAACATTCACAAGAAGGGAACCAAGCAAATTGGGCACTAAAAAGTTGCATGTTTTGTGATAAGCTATACGACACTTGAGAGTTATATATATCAACATATTGATAGGTATGTACACACTAAAAAAATAACACATTCGCATTGCAGTTTACTTTACTAATGCTACTAGTGGCTTTGTTTGTGCCTAAGGCAATATAAGGCTTCTAGACTCTAGTGCCTAGGATGTGCCTTGTGCATACCCGGTGGTCAATCTGGAGCTTTAAGTCAAATCCACAACTTGATCTACTTTCGCTCTTGCTCCGCTGTCCCATATCAACATTGGTTTGTGTTGTAACATTGACCACTACTACAACCTTCCAAGCTGACGTAAAATGGAAAGAGTTTATATTTATACGAACTCTATTCAAGACTTATCTGGTTTAGGAAGTAATAAATATAACTGTTGGATTACAGGTCGTTGCAAGGCTTGTTGAATCAGCAATAATCTATAGTGATAATTGATTTCTTCCCCTTAAACTTGCCCTCTGTACTTATGAAAAGCACAAGGCATATCATTTGTCTGAGCAGTTCATTTAAAACATGCATGAAGAACTCTTTTATTCTTATCTTCTGCTCGTGCATTCGCAGAAACCCATTGATTCTCAATATCTTATCTGAGGCATTAGACTGAGTCACCTGGATGTGTCCCTGCTAGTACCATGCTTGTGTCTGTTCCCATTATGCAACTAGTGAAGTTGCGATTTGGCTTCAACAAGGATTTGATTCATGCCTCAAATGAAGTCTTTAGGGCATTTTTTGGGGTTCCTAACATGTGCTTTATACAGATTTAATGTGAGTTTAACACATGGTATCTGTCTGTCATGTAACACTATTAAATATTTTAATGAGAGTGAATTCTCAAGGCAGCTAATAAATATTTTAAACTATTGAATGTACTTGCGGAAGAATACTTATGATTCTGAAATCTGAACTACCTCCTTGTTTTATGGTTTTCATTTATTATTTTTTCCCCGATTGAATTCAGACAATGGACCAGTAGCTTTAACTTGGCTCGTTGAAGCAGATGACTGGGTTAAAAATATTCTGTATCTTGCTCATAGTAGTTAAAAACTCCATTTAATATGTCATTGACACAAAGTAGTGGGTTTCATGTCTCTTATTACTCCCATGTGCCTCTTGTGGATGTATAATTTTATTAGATATGAATAAGATGTGTTGAAACTGAGGTTCGAGATTAGTCGCCACATCTCTCTCTATCTCATGCAGGCAATGGAATATTATGAAGAGATTGGTGCGAGTGTTGTTCGGAGTCTAAGTCAATGTGAAGAAGCTGTAGGTAACCAGTGTACCCTCTCAACTCTACCTACCACTAATCTAAGTAGATACTATTTGTGGAAAGCCTTTCATCTGGGGAAAATTGGGTCATCTAGCGTTTTATTATTGTTGACAATATGAGCCCCGGCTTCCATTTTGAACCTACGTTTCTCGGACTCAAGGTTGTTGGTTATGGGTATGTTTGAACTTTTTCCATACGTGTTTTTAACTCTTAAACATATGGATATAATAAATGACCCTCAAAATATAATGTTTCAAAGAAAATAAATAGCCAAAACAACATAACCGAGCGTGTTGAATTTTATCGGATACAGTTAACCTCTTGACGATGCCGGCTGAGTCATGCTTGTTGGTTGTGTTTATTGGATACAGTACAACTTATTCCCATTAGTTGTACTCTTCTTTGGAGGGATGCGACTGATGGCACATCCAAGTAAATGTTTGTTTCTCGCAGCTGACGATTACATTTAACAAAAGAAAAACAAATTAGTTTGGCATATACAAGTATAAGGCGCTTTGACCCGGCACTCCTTAGTTGATGCCCACCACCTTTCTTTTTCTTTTATTTATTTAATTCTGTTTGTCAAACATTTCCTTAATTACTAGTGTGTGGCCTTTATGTTTCTTGACCTAACAATCCTTATTTTAAACAATTAATGAACTGTCTAAATTAATTATTAAATTATTTGTAATTAACCGTCACTTTTATAAATCTATGGTGACGACAGAAAACAAACACCGTCCGAGGCTGGCTAACTGCGAACTAATTTGTAGTAATTGTTATTTTGGTTGGAAAGACGTCATTGGATTTTGTGTTCTGGTTGAATATATCTCGGGGAAGATTATCTAATAAAAGATGATGGATTAGACGAGCTTGAGTACAAAGTAACAAGGCCAAACGAAGTCAACACCCTTTGACTTTATCATATGTTTGCCTCGGTTGAGTGCTTCGTAATTTCTTCTCATCTGTTCATCGAGTCAAACACTAGCGTATTTTAGGACAACTTTTTTTTTCTTCTAGAAAAAAAAACATTTATCAATTTTTATTTTAAAAACAATGTGAAAATCCCATAAGCTTATGTATGAAAAAGCGAGGAAAGGAAAGAGAGGTATATTAATTTATCAAGCAGTCGGAATGCGTGTAAAGGTTGGACAACCAATAGTAATCATCATATCCATTCAATAATTTGTTTCTATATACCTTTATTAAAATAATAATAATAAAGTGAAGAGCTTGCCCGTTGACTTGTAAGCTAATTCATGTTCCACTTGCTTAAACCTTGAAAAAAATGGTGATAAAATGACGATACTTACTCAAACCTGGCTGGCCTGCCTCCCACTCCATTTCATATAAAACTCTCCGACTCATCCACGTATAATAATTGCGTAATTATTTCAAAGTGGATGGATCTAATAATTATTTCAAAATCACGATATTTACTCATATTTCAGTTTTTTTCGACCTGGCCATAGATTTTAAGATAAACTTTTTTATTCCATCAAATTATTATTATAATATCATATATATATATATACAATAAAATCTTTTGTTATAGATATTTTTATTATCTTCGTACTGAATACAAAAATATTTGAATGCAATGGAGATATGTTTTTATCCTAAAATGTAAAACTAATTTGAAACAAGTAAAATATAATCAAACGCTAAAATAAATAAGATCAGAAACAAAATGAATGTCTTTAAAAATTTTAATCCAAAAAAACTACCTCATCTTACTCCTTTAACCCTTACCCATCCCTAATCATCGATATATATATCTTATACATTATTTATTTATCAATAATGCATAAGAAAAATGTATTTATAATACATCAATTTTAATCTAATATTATTTGATACAAATATAATCACCACGCCCACACTTAGAATGAAATTAAAAATATTAATATCATTCATTTTGATTTTACATTTAAATTTAACAACATATATAATAATAAAGTAAGGAAAAGCCAAGAGAAACAACAATTAAAATTATTTAATAATAACAATAATAAGTTTTTCTCAAGATTGGGTTTGATCCTCTTCTTCCTCTTGTCCACTGTTGTTGGAGTTAGGTTAGCTGCCAGTTTTTACTCAAAGACTATGTGAATACGGTGTCGTTGGGAGACCACCTTATTTTCATGGACTTAAAGCTGCCATCTTTCTTTCCTTTTTTGTTGTTGTTTTGATTTACCTTTTTGTTCTCTAAGTCAGTCAACGCCGTCATCACGGCTTAGATACCGAGACAGCATCTTTAACGGAACCGTCAAGACCGCCATTACCCACAATAGCTGACTGCACAGTTAACACGGACATGCTAGGCGAGAAAGGCCCTCCGCCGTTGGACTGAAATAAATGGTGGTTGCCGCCGCCTTTATTAGGGTTCGCAGTGTTGATCATGGGATTCCTGGAATGACACGTGGCGGTGGAGATGGCGGAGGCGAGGGAAATGGGCATGAGGCAGAGACCCTTCCCTTGCAGGTACTGCATGGCGGAGCCCATGTCTTCTTCCATAAGCTTGGCCACTTGGTGCTCCGTCACTGTTATGCTGTCGTTGTTCACAGACGTTTGGTTGCCGTTAGAATTCCGCTGAATGGACCCACCACCGTTAGCGGCCGTCTGAACACAATCGCCTCCTCCCTACAAAAGAGAGATGCTTTTACAAAAAATAAACGACTAAAAACTAAAATAAACAAAGAAAAAAAAAAAGTTTGAGAGAGGAAAGGAGGAATTTATGACAGTGGGGGCAAGCGTGCTGCTTTTGTTTTGTCGTTTTGTGGTGTGATTTGAGAGAAACGGAATGATATAAACAAGACAAGACAGAACCCTCTCGTTATGTTCTACATTCCCCCCTATAAAATCACACGTAATAGGGCGATTAGGGTTTACCTCAGAAGGCATATCAGCAACAAGGGGAGCAACGGCAGAGGCACCGCCCAATCTGCTCATACTCAGAACCTGCATAATTTCCAGGAAACAGCAAGAATTTAATTGTCAGAAAGGCCCATACATATAATTACAACTGGATTAAGTATAAATAATTTAATAATCTTAAAAACATTGTCAACCAGTTCAGGGAATCCTTCAATAATTTCTTTTAATAAACTAAATACTTCAGAATAAAATTTTAAACAAAATAAGGAGAGAGAGGCAAAACCTTGACTTGGAGCTGGAGGAATTTGACATAATCTATTATTTCATCAAGCATTGAAGCTTTATCTGTCTGTCATTCCACACCCACAAAATAAAAATAAAAATAAAAAAACTCATTAATCTTAAAAACCATAAAAATAACATGGTTTAATTATTTTCATAATATATCACTTAAAATTTAATTATTAAAGATCAAAATGATGATTATTTTTTTTAAATCCTAAAACCTGATACATTCAGTTACTAATTACTCAACTATTTTCCTGAAGTATCGGGATCGAGATCGGGACCAACTAAACATTCAAGTTACAGGCCTGCGATGATCAGTTTATCCTACTAAATGACACGTGTGCTTTTATTTTGGTACCCTAACATTGGCCGACGAGATAAATCAAAGAGATTCAAGCCGGAGACGGGAGGAAGTGTACATACCTTATTGGCATTGGGAACAAGTTCTTGAAGAGCTTTCATTCTCTCTGCAATTCTCTCTCTGCGTAACTGCCAACACGTATCGTTTCAGAATACGGATCGAATCAATCATTTTTGAGCTTCTTTGTATGGTACTGTATATCGTCTTGTACGGTAAAACATACAAAGATAAAGGCTTTGCTTACTCTTTCAGCGATACTGTGTGGGTCAGTAGCTTGTCCCCTTCTAGCTCTAACTCTCTGTTTCGGTTGAGCCTGTGTACCTCCGGGCGTTGAACCACTTGCCTGACTCTGGTTCATTACTGTCCCCGCTGTTGCTCCAAAGTTTGGCGTCTGCATATCGCCTCCCTGAGGATGGTAATGCGGTGGCTGGTTTTGTGATTGATTAGTCCCATGCAAAGATCCAGCACTGAAACCATTATACAAAGCTTGCATTGAACCCTCTCCACCCTGCAATCGTTCATTGATATAATATATATTTTCAGTTATACTCTAGCCAAAGATTAAACCAAAGAGAGGTAAAAAAAACTGATGTGAACCTGTTGATTGGAGGAGTTAAACGTAGACCCATCGACAATATCCTTCTGATTATAAGACCCAGCAGCACCAGTACTACCCAAAGACAAAGGCATAGTCAATCCTTCTCCACCAGCGGCGGAGACACCTCTTCCGGGTAACATCATCTGCTGCTGCATCATCATTTTCATGGCAGCAGTAGCAGGAGAAGACCCTCCGCCGCCGTTGATTTTATGTTGTCTAAGCTTGGATGCCAGAATCTCATCGTAGTGGAAGCCGACATTCCTGTCGGGGTTAGAAGCTCCGGTTTCATCTGATTTAGGAGGATCCCAAGGTGACTTGAGGTCGGACCATGAGCAAGAAGGGAGAGTAGAGAGCATCTGTTCTAAGAAGTCATCCTGGGAGGAAGTGGGATCGAACTGTGGGCTTTGGATCTGCTGGTGACTGTTGCTTTGAAGGTCTTGGAGAGGGATTTGTTGTGTTGGGTTTAAGAGAGAGTCCATTGCTTGCATTTCACGGCTACAAGGCTGCATAATTCCCCCAAACAACTGTTTTAAATAAAAAGAATAGCTTGAAGAAGAAACAGATTAGAGTTTGAGGAATTGTTTAACTGTTTAAAGTTTGTGATCCGGAGAAAGGGAAACTTAAAGAAGAAGCAGGAGAGGATGGGCTTTTAGGATTGGGAATGAGTTTTATTTCCTTCTTGTGGTTGCCCAAGAGTGAAGATGAAGGGAGGATTCTTCTCTCTCTTTGAATTTGTAAGGGCTGGGATTATTAAATATAGAAAAAGAAGGGAGAGAGCGGCCTGTGCGGTGTCGTTTTCAGTTTAATTACTTAAATGCATCATCATCATCGTCATTGTGTAAGGTAATTAGCTAAATATCGACACATGAACTCACTATCATTTTCATCTACTTGTAACTTGCCTAGTTATTTCATGAATCGGATTCACTTTTTTTTATTATAATTTTTAATAACCTATACATTAATTATTTTATTCAATTTATTTGAAATAATTAGTTTAATTTAATTTATTCATTACATGATCAGAGAAGTTTAAATCACTTAAATTCTTTTCCACTTATAATTAAAAGATAATATAATATTTAAACACATTCAAGTTCACATCATTTTATATATTATAACAATAATGATATCGATTAAACTAAATTTCTATTAATTAAATAATAATTTATTTCGATGGAACATATATATATATATATTCTCAAACCTTGTTCGTTGAACTACAGCTACAACATCAAAAGGATGATTATATTGTTTGTTTGTTGGTCGGTAATGTGCATATTATGTTTGATGTTATGTATTACAATGTATCCCGATGCTTTGTTTGTAACATATAACATGCTATTTAATTGGTTGTATTGATTTTAAATTAGCCTTTGAAATGTTCAGCTCAAGATCAAGTTAGCAACCGATGTGGGATATTAATAGAAAGATCATGATACGATTCTGCAATCTTAATTCATTGTAAAAAAAATGTCCCCATGAACTTTCTTGGAAGCCCTTAATAAATTTCCAGCTAGTAATGGTATACATTGCTCTGAATATAGAGTAAATGCAGTTTATATATTTATACTCAGTTATGTGTATAAGCCTATAGCCACGGATTCTAATAATTATTTTATGTTTGGTTCTGTCGTCTGCTAATATTCATATTTTCTATGTCATATATTGTATCGGCCGTGTTATTATCGTGCGTTTAGGATATTATAAATATGTTTCATGATATAATATTTCATTTTACATATTTAATATTTCTTGAATATGTATCATATATTAAAAATATTTTTTATATTTCATCTCATGTTTTCTATAATTTTTTTAAATTATCCAATCTAAAGAGAAACAATGTTTAGGCCTTAGTATTTTTTATGTATTAAATACTATGTGTTTCTGTTAATTTTTAAATATTAATAGTTAGTTGTGTATTTTTATAGATATTTTTTATTTTTATGTTATTTTAATATGACATATTAATTTGATCGATAATAATTTAATTTTTAACAATTAATTTATTTAGCACGAATCAAATAACCTCAATTATTAAATGTACGATTGTTACTTTTGAAGTTTTGGGTTCAAATATAACGTCTGTAAAGATGTTTGAACACTCAGTATAGAATAATTCAGAATCTTTGAGACAAATATTATCTTATAATCAAATAGTATTAATAAGAATAATTTACTCATTTGAACGAAGTAATTACGACTATTATGCATTGATAAAATAACATTTGAGATGTTTTATTGGAAATAATTAAATTTTCAAAGATATTGGCCCCTTCGTTAATTGGACCATACATGTGGCATCCCATGTGCAAGAAATCCCTTTTACTACCTTATTTAATTATTTTTGGCTTTGCATTAATTGATTGTGTGCCCACAGTTCAACTAATTAATTATTCAAGTTTTATAAAGTTTTTCTTTCCCTAAAAAATTTACAAAGAAATAGTATTAATATAAATACAAAAAATATAAGATCAAATATAATTAACATTTAATGATATAAAATTATCGTAAACTTTTAAAATCAAAGATGCATATATTTTTTTTAAAAACAAATTTTAAAGAAATTCTTTGAGCCCATATGCTGGGACAACGTAATTTTCAGATTTTTTTAAATTTATTTAGATTTTGACTTTATTAATTAATTATGAAAATCAGCCTTGTAATCAACAAGGTATGTAGCACAGGCAATGAGGAGTGGAAGATGGGAAATTTCATATTTAGAAAAAGAAAATTCCATTTCCATTTACGTTCAATCAATCATTCAAAACAAGAATTTGATGCCAAGTCGATGGAATTCGTTTATGTTCCTATCAATAATCAATATTCCATCAATTAGAAGAAAAAAAAGAATAATTATATCATATAAAGGCCTAAATGGACAAAAAAGGCCCATAATAAAAAAAGCGAGTTGGGCCAGTCATTAATAGGGTGGTAAAGCATATATGGAAAACTAAATTATTGTGGATTTTAAAATACATATTTTTAAGGCATAATATCAATTTTTTTAAAATATTTCATTAAATAATTATTTTGGTTTCTATAATTTTTTAGAGTATTTTGGTTTCAATGTTTTATTTTAGAGTAAAGAAGTCCCTAATGTTTGAGTTAATAATAATTTTAGCCCTTATTCTTTTTTCTAGGAGTATTTTAACCCTCAATATTTCATTTTAGAACAAGAAAGCCCGTATTTTAGACCATTGATAGTTTGTTGACTGACGATTTTCATCTATGGATGAGTTATTTTGCCTCCAAAATAAAATGTTCAGAACCAAAATACTCAAAAAATTACTATTTAATCAAACGTTTAGGGCTTTTTCTTATCATTATACCAGTTTCAAATTATAATATCTAAATTATTCACAATTTTAAACCCTCAAATTATAGTGTACAAATTATAATTATGTTCAAACGCACTGAAACTCACGAACATCTATTTGTTGCAGTAAACTCTAAACACAGATTTACCATTCAACAAAGATAAACTAGTTATTCTTCATGGATTCCTTAACTGGCGATACTAACCCATGGTATAAGATGGGGTTGGTAAGTTGATGACGGTGCTCTTGATCTTTGTCATCATGTTAATGCTGTTGGTAACCCCCTGTGACCCGATTCCACTGTCTCTCAAACCCTGTTTCCAAACCATTTCTCTCAAAATTTCACAATGCTCATCAAAGTAATCCAAATCTGGGATTTTCGTTCTTGTAGGTTTTGAATACCTGGAATGGGAAATGATCCGGTCCACGAGCTGGTGCAGAATTGATCTGAACCGTCCCTGTCTCCATTGCATCACTTATCAATATTGCTTTATTAACATCCTTGGTGAACACACATCCCTGCATTATTGTATGCATTCTTTAAGCTACTGTAATGGAAGCAACAGAGATGTTCTTCAACATTTTTTTTCATTTAAAAATACCTGGAGTCCGAAGTTGCTAGCATTGCAGTGGTGGATACCTTCCTCGATGGAGTTGATCCTTATAACCGGTAAAACTGGTCCGAATGGTTCTTCCCACGCAATCCTCATATCGGGTCGAACATTGTCTAACAACAATGGCCATATGAGGTTTCCATCTCTCTTGTATTCCTGACAAAATGTAGCTCCTTTCTCTTTGGCATCCTTCACCAATCCTTCGATGAAATTCGCCGACGACTCCGACACTACTGGAGTGATGTCGCAGTCATCCTCCGGTGCTCCCACCTTTAATTTCGCCACTTTTTCTTTCACCTTTTCCACCAGGACATCAGCAACCGATTCCATCACTAACACGACCTTAACAGCCGTGCATCTTTGACCACTGTGGTAGTTATACAAACAAAAGATTTTACACTTAACATTATGTTAATTTCTAGTACAAGTGAAAACAGCTAATGTTGTTACCTGTAAGAGAATCCTCCTTTGATTATGTTAGCAGCAACCAAATCCAAATCTGCGTCCTCGAGCACGATACAGGCATCTTTTCCTCCCAGTTCCATCTGAAGAGGGATCATTCCCGCCTTCTTTGAGATTGCGATGCCGGTGTCTCCACCAGTGAAACTAATGGAAAAGAGGATGAACATTATACATGGGTGCTAAATATATAGTAAAACTACAGCTGATAGAGTGTCCACTATGACCTGGAACTACCTTATACAGTTAACCCCAGGATGCATGGTGAGGAAGTCGCCGATTTCAGAGCCTTTCCCCGTCACACAGTTAATGAGCCCTTTGGGAAAGCCGGCCAAATGAAAGCAATGTACCATATGAAGAGCAGAGACAGCACCCTGTAAGAAGATTACAGGAGAGATTTTAGATTTTTTTTCTAGAAATCATTTTAAGACACTGTCTTACCCACTTATGTATGTAAGAACATACCTGTGTTGGTGGCTTGAGAACAAGCGAATTTCCAGCAATCAATGCTGGTGCAATTTTCGAAACAGCCAGGTTGACTGGATAATTGAATGGTGGAATGGCTAGAATCACTCCAAGTGGAATCTGTATACATAAAAGACATGGAGTTTCAATTTGCTGAAGCAATAAATGAATCAATACCATAGTTTGTTGCAATCCAATAGTAAATGAAACATTACCTTGGAGGTGAGGCAATATTTGGTTCTTTGGTTTCCAGGAAAACTATCAGATACCAAGAATTTCCCTTCACCAAGAATCCTTACCCCCTCTTCAGCAGTGTAAGAAACCAGATCCCCAGACCTCACAACCTTCATGGAATCATATCAAAACCAGTTTTCTTAGTATCTTTTGAAAAAAAATTGCATAGGAAATAAGTTAGAGCAGATTATGCACCTCAGTAACGGCATCTTTGGCTGGTTTTGCAATTTCTTTAACCAGGCATTCAGCAATTGGTGCTTTATGCTCCTTGAGGATGGCAGCAGCTTTATGAAGTAGCTCAGCTCGCTTCCAGAGTGGTGTCTTAGCCCATGATTTTTGTGCTGTTTTTGCTGATTCCATAACTTTGTTCACCTCTTCTTGTGTACAAGCTGTTTCACCACCACAGTTAAGTAAAACAAAACAGAAGCATGCATATATATATAGCAAAATACAGTGGTTCTACAAGTTTAGCTGGTTCAACCTTGAACCTTGTACTGGGTTTTCCTGGTCATTGGGTTGATAATTGCAACACTTTTTCCAGAAGAAGACTTCTTCCATTCTCCATCAGCATAATATTTGTAAACATCTCCCTCCAATACGTCCGCAAATACTCCAGTCCCTGCCATCGTGAAAAAAAGCTCACTTGCCCAACAAAGAAAACCTACCTGTTTTCTTGGATTTGCTCACTCCAAGGGCAGACTACAAACGAACTAAGCGTGCAGAGTAGGGTGAAAGGTGAGGCAACGAGTGTCTGGTGTTGCTTCTGATGTTATAGGCTTAAAAAATAGGTATATTGTTAAAATTTACCCTTAAAGATTTGACTGAATACTCATTTTGATCCTTATTTGTTTTAAAGTATTTTAATCTTTAACGTTTCAATTTTGATTAAAATTACTCATTTTAATTGAAAACTGTTAATTGATCAAATGACTCTACATTTATACACAACATTTTCACACATGCTTAATTAATAACATAGTATACGTCTCTTTACCAAAAATTATCATATATTACTTAAGCAATCAAACATGTAAAAAAATATCATATTAATAACACATTTATTGTTAGTTAATTTACAGATTTATTGAAAATAATTATTGAAACTAAACATGAAACATTGAGAGTTATATTTAAAAAAAGATAATAAAAATTAAAATAATTATTTTATCAAAAGTTAAATATGAAATTTGATATTATACTTAAAAAGTATAGAGCGACAAAAGAAAGCTTGGTTTTTTAGGTGGTTCAGATTCTGCCAAGTTTGAAGGAGATGGTTCTGATCATTTTCTTCCGACCACACATTAGTTAGCCTCGAGTTTGTTTTCACTTTGACCCAGCTCCAACTTCTTCTTTTTACTCTTCTTTTACCCTGCAGAGGTTAAAAAAAGCCGATATGAATGAAAATATTGGTATTTTTTAATTTAATTTCTTGTTCCTGAACTGTTTTACAGTGACTTAGACTTCATGATATTATTAATTCCCGAGAGAGATGAAGTTCAAGCTGGTTATTAATGGTACGGAACTCAAACATGATATATATGATTACAGAGGGGTAAGGACAAATTGGATTCGCCGAATAAATGTCCATTTTTAGTTATAAATTGGTGGAAAAGTGGTGTTCATTTGCTAATACTTTTGAACCTTCTTCAGCACTGTTGCTAAACATTTATGGTGAATTGTGAGGCTAATTAGTAGTAAGAGAGCACATACAATTTTCAATACTTATCAAACTACATGGAATAGTGTATGCTTGGAAAGAGTCTTATCTGCCATGCGGAACATGATGGAAATTGGTAAATGAAAAGAGTAGCTTTGGCTTTTAACCATGGAAAAGTTAGCTGGAACATTGAAAATTGAATTCATAGTTGTGGTTGGAAAACCATGTTTGGTGTCTGGTGTAGATCAACTTATGATATAAGCCACAAACTAAGAGTCGGTGAGCAGATGATCTGAATAATGGCCGTGGACCACAAGACCTCACCGTGGTATTGGTAATAAAGCCGATTCACCCACTTTGATAATCCAATCACGCCTCTCAAAAGCACATAAAATCTTTTTAAGACTTAAACATATGTTGAAATTGTTTATTGCCCTTGCAATCCCCGTTAAAGCATCAAAAGAAACTCACAAAGGTAGGTTCAAGGCTTGCCGACATGAATGAAGTAAGCCGAGTTAAAAAGATCACCCTTATAATAGGACTCTAATATGGTTATATAAAAGAAAATTATTGGTACATACACTATCTTAGAGGTCAAAAGAATATATAAAAAATGTTGGATATCGAAAAGGTTTGCCAATAATTTAAAAGGAAACAGGTCGCATACATAAGAAACACCAACCAGTTTAGCCTTCAGAAAACAAGATAGCTCAAGCAAATATCTTGACTGGCTGGAAAAAAAAACTCCGATTCTACCATGAAACCATCCACTTGACTTAATCCTTGTGCTGTTGAACAACTTCGACAGCTTCGTGTTGTTCACCATAATCCTACAGTAAAAAGAAAAATAAAATCTCAAGCATCATAAATACAGAGCATGCATTGGCGAATTTTCTAGACATTTCTTGGAAAATATGAAGTGAAAAAAAAGGGATCGATGAAACAAATATATTTATGCGACAATGTACTTTAATGTAATGTGCCCATACCTTGACAACCACACAAGAGCAACCGACCACCTTCCGTGCTTTCCCTTCAGAATCAATCTTACACAACTGCATGAAGAGGTTAAGAGCATCTCAATTTAAGTACAATTAGCATCTCAATCAGTCTTTCAAAACTAAGAACAAGGAACAAGCTTATAGCATCAGATGGTATTCTCAGCATGTCAGCAAATGCAAGGAAATTTAAAAAAAAAACATAATCGAGCAATGAAATTACTTACACCTGCCCACTCGCCAAGTGTTTTTGAACTAGGTGCACGTAGCACTTTAACATTATGGTCAGCGCATAGTGCCTTGACCAGCTTAACATAATCAGGCTGGTCGCAGTCATCTGCTAGAATACAAAGATGAGCATTGTGCTTTTCAATTGCCTTGGCAGCTTCATGTAAGCCACGAGCAAGTCCACCGTGAGCTTTTGACTTCCTCACCACAAGAGGCAAGGCTGTGTTAATGTCCATTGGCTCACCAAGAGCAGCTGGTGCCTCAGGTTGGGCAACTGCAACTTCTTCTCTGCAAATGCCATAGGCAAGAGCACGAAATAAGTAGAGGCAGAGGAAGCAATCTTTAGAAGAAATAAAAGTTGGTTGTTAAACTAATGAGTTCGGAACAAAATGGAATCTCAAATTCTAAATTAGACTTATCTCAAGATGCACAATTGAAATTCTATCTCAATTTCCTACCGATGCAAAAACAAATACCCAATAAGATCTCAAGATACTTTGTATTTCTAACAAACAAGAAGTCAAATAGTAACCAATTATCTAAAAGAGCACACAGTGCGATCCAAATTAGCATGCAGTAGATACCATACTACTTTATCCCACACAAAAATCAAACAAAACCCGAAGTCTACATCGGGAAAATTCAAGCAAATTGAATCCATAGGGAGATAATAAAACAAAACCAACAAAAAAATCAAATTTCATGGAAACAACACGGATATTCAGCTAAAAATGGCCTTGAATGTTGACAGAGTTGTCACTTACCCTGACATTTTTTAAGCTGAAGATGGGATCGGAGGTCCTGCTTCCAGGTAGCAAAAGAGAAAGAAAGAAGTCAAACAATGAATTTTTCAACTAATATAAAACTGAAAGTTACATAAAAGAACAAATACCAAATAAAGCGGGCGGGGGAGGGTAGCTGACCCGATGAGAGATTGAAGAGCTAATCTGCTGGGTGGCGGAGGGATGCAAAGTGTGGAACAAATATAGTTATTTTCTGACTCTAGGGCTTTTGGGGTCTGAAACCATTAAAATGGAGAAATTTAAAAGCTCAAGTCGGGATTGTTGCCACGATCCAACCCAAGACCATTGGCTAGGCCCAGCCCACAATATTATGAAGTGAAAATTTATATAGTTCCTTTCATTTCATTGAGAGTTGATTTCAAGACCTCCCGCTTACTAAACGGGTGCTCTAACCAACTGAGCTACGAAAGTGATGCTGAGAGTGCGCGTATAAATAATTATTAAACTTATATTTAGCCAGAATTTTTTCTCTTACAACCTTTATCGCCTGCTACTGTTATCTTGTCCTCCTAGCAAATAGCAATACTAAATACTCCATAAAAAGCAATTATACTCTGTTTTTCAGGACAATTATATATATAGCAAGCAATGGCCTTTTCTTCTTTTTAATTTAATGCAGCTTTACTATTGATACTTTCATATCACTCACTACTTCTCGGAAAAAAATACAAAAGATTATTTGGAATCAACTTTCAAAGATAAATAAATTCATTTTCTAGAAATCAATAAAAAAAAATTCCATGAAACAAACAAACTCGTATTCTCCTCCATAGTGATCCATATGCTGATGATGACATTTTACTTTTACATTGCTTTGCAGGAATCTTTTGCAATCACTGTGCCGTTCAAAATTTATACACAAACCATCACAATCGGCTAATCCATGTTAGATTAAGGAAGCATCTGAATTTCACTGTTCACATCGTAGTGTCGCAGACGTGGACAATTTGAGATGGCCCCAGGCACAAGAATCAACCTAACCTCGCTTCTCTTTGCAAAACCTGGTTAAAGCAGAAACAAAGGAGCAGTATTAATCTTTAAATCCAGTATATACATAAATAAGAATCTTTTCTAATTTTATATATTTATTGCTATTTTATTACGCAAACAACATAGAACGTTAAGCAAAACAAGCAGTGAATAGCATATTCTGATCGAAACTAATAGCTGCAGGTTGCAAATTGGATTCCCTTTTACTATGTTGTTCTGACTTCTCACTCTTCATTTTCTATAAAGTATTCATGTCCAACAACCGTGTCCGACACGTTTTCAAACATAAATATATCTGACATACACCTGTACCAGTCACCTTTGTGGCCAAGCGACACAGCCTTCTTCAAATATAGCAGGGGAAACAAAAAGAAATATATTTGGACCTTCATCCTTCTCACACCTATGATGATGATAGGACTTGAAGTAGATTACTGTGGAAATGGCCAGCAGCGGTGCCACAAGTTCTTCAAAAGATAAGGACGCTTGCATAACCAGTTGTATGTTATTTAGCAAACATGGACATAAATATATTGTATTTTATTGAAGTGTTGAAAACCAAACCCTGTATTATCTGCCTAAATTTATTCTTTTTTTCTTACTGATATCTCAAGTAACTCTCTTAGTACTTATTTGACCCTTCACCAGTATTTTCATATTGATCTTTGGGTAGGCTGGTATTTTGATCCCATTGAGATGTAAAATTTTGAATAAACCACTGGTCTTAAACAAATTAAGAAGTGTATTAAACATCAAAACTACACTTGGTCAAACCAGACTTCAAGTAATGAGGGAATATCAGATGCAAGAAAATAACAGTAGTCCTTACCTCTTCAGCAAACTTTATCAAAATAGTTGTCCGAGGTCTTTGCAGTCCCTCCATGGGTACAAAATGAGCTGTTACTACTGCTGGAAATCCTGCCCCATCCAAAACACCCTTCCACAACAAACAAGAAGAGCCTATAAGAACTTCCACCAGATGATTAGTCATTTTATACACAAAATGAATGCAGCACTTACCCTCACTATTCCTGCAACAAATGCCCCACAATTAAATGTCCCCATGTCTTTTGGAACTGAAATAAACCTACAATGCAAACAGAACAGTTGATTATTTAATATAGAACTAGAGGTCAACTTGGCAGAAACAATTGCATTATAAGAGATGAGTGGTGAAAAGTAAATAACTTGTTCACAAGGAGGTCCTTCTCACTGATCATGTATTCATCTTCATGTTCAGTGCCCTTTTCAAGTGAATCAGCCACCTAGTATAGTACAAAAAAGAGTTGGTAAGTGGTAAGACAAGCACTAAATTTGAGACTAAACTGATTTTAAGCACATGCCATATGTGTTAGCCAGCTAGATTGATCACGCCTATAAATTTCTTGGAGACTAAACAAATTCTGTATGAAAATATCATCAAATTATAAATTGTTTCACCGGTAGACAAGATTGTTACCTTTCCAAATAACACCTTCCAGACAGTGCTGTGCACAAAAGATAAAATACCCAACAATCGTGTCTCCCTTCTGTTTCCCTGTGGCATAAAATAGAATATAAACATATGAAGAAAAAAAGGCATAAGTTCATAGTACTAGTACTGACACCACAGAAGAGTAGACATGTTCAAATAAGCACACGTGTGAAAACACATTGTTAAACCCAGAAACAAAATATAAAAGCAAACTTAATTGAGATACCAGCACCAGGCAAATAAGATAAGTTAGGCCAGCATCCTTATATTGCATCAAATTGTTCTCACCTAATTAATTATAAGAACCAAGACTACTTTAACAAGGTCGATGGACAACTTGCAAGTAATACCTCAAGAATGCTACTGAAAAATAAAAAGAGAACCTTATTGCTATAGCAGTCTCAGGTATAGTCTATGAATGTGTTGTACCTTATCCCGATGGCATAGAAGTTCAAGAACTCGAGCCCCAACTGCATACCCTGCATCCTCCAGCCTGATCAATTACCATGAATGATATTAGGTTCATTGACTGAACTAAGCATCATCCCAGCATTTGCTTTAATGTGAAGCAAGGATGTTTGGTCTATTTTTGTAACCTTCTATAAATAATCTGATCTTAAGAACAGTAAGCAATGAAAAGATTCAACTATCATATAAAAATACCTTCTTTCTAGTTCAGCAATATTGTCAACCTGTGCTTGATTATACTGAACAAGCTCAGAAAACAAGAACGCAAATGCACTCAAGCTAACCTGCACCAGAAGCACAACACACAACAGTCAACAGTTTGAATTTTGATTCCGGATTGGATAAAACAAATCCACAACAAAACCTACTCCAGTTTTGGTTTATGTATAAATTATTTTCTCAATGGACTTATTTTTTAATTATTCTGAGAAAAATTTGTGTAATTGGGTCATGATTTTTCAACTAATTTAATGGCTAAGAATATGAACATACTGTTTAAATAATTAAAATAAGGAAAAAAGAAAAAGCAAGTCTCTAGTTTAAACTTCATATCATATTTTGATACATTTCAGAGGAAGTGGAGGGAACCTCTTGTTTTCCCTTGCTGAGGGGCTTCTCAAGGATGTTTGAGTATTGCTTTATCTTCCCAGCTCCAATCATTTTCTACAGGAAAATAAAATATTGTTTTCTGTTCGACTGCTAGAAAACTGCAGAAAAAAATGAATCAGCCATCACGTATGTGAAACGCATGGCAAGTATGCATGCACTTCGCTGTTAACTCCATTTTGAGGAATTGAAGAATTTAATTCTGATAAATTAGCGATTGGGTTTATTTACTTCTGCCAAAAAGATTTGGTGATTTGGTACATTGACCATTTGTTTATGAAAAGCCCTTTGGCCAAAGCAATTTAGTCCAGTCTCAGATCTCTCCCTTAGGATTGAAGAATTTAATTAAGTTAATTCAAATAGCTAAGATCACAAGAATAAAAAAGAAACTGCATTCTTAAAAAAGGAATCTCTAAATAAATATTTCTCCATCAATTGGACCATTCCCCTGAGAGTTGGTTCAGCAGGTTCTATTCTTAGAGAAAACAACTTTAAATCTCAAATGGTTGTCATATCTGTAGAAGAATCTGGAAACTTAGAACAAAAGCCCAAGCACCTCCTGTTGTTTAGGGAAATCCTTATTTGCCTTAAGGGCTTGGGTATCAGATCATACTTTTCTGGTCCGGACTGGAGACTTTAAAAAGGTTTATGAGCTGCAGTTACAGAATGCATTGGACACTGGTTCCAGTTTCAGATGTATAAACCAATGAATATAGGTTTGACGCGTGTACTTTGTGGTTTGGGGGGGATGAAGGGATCGGGTAACGTTGGAGGTGGGGAATGTTTAGTGCAGGAAAATTAAGCACCTCTTAAATGAAGTGGAAAAGCCGCAAAGGATACTACCTCAGTTCATGGCCTTAGTACTAATTATTTAAGCTTTGTGTTACTGGCCACTGAAAGGGAAACATAGAATACAAAGGAGACAGAGAGACTGATGAATCGCCAGGTACTTTATGTGAAACGGATGCGTTCACAGTGATGAAAAACACCACTTTGAGCGCCGCAGTTATCACGTCAAACCAGTAAAATCAACCCAACAACAAACATAGCTTGATTCTAGAATTCAGACGTTCACTAATTACACATCACTGATCCAGAGCAAGATCAAGCCAATTAGTCTTTTCCAATCAAATGGTAAATAACGCAACTAAAGACAGCCCATCTAACTAATATCATCACGATCTAGCAAGGAAATGTATTTTTTTCTGGGATTCCAACAAAACCCATAAATTCGTACGAGGATAAAACTTCATATTCTAAGAATCTCCACGATGTTGCAAAGAAAAGTGACGATGTCTTTTCAAACAAGTACAAATAGATAAGCATAAACAAATTGTTTTGTAGGATTACCTTATTACAGCGTACGAGTCTTAGGATTTTTCAACAATCTGAGGAAGGGAAGTCTTAAGATGCAAAGAAAAAAACCAACTAAATGAAAGGGTTTAATTTGCGATAAAATATATATATATATGAAATTAAATTGGGCTCACTTCGAAAAATCTTAGGTCTGTCTTATTTATTATCAACTGGACTTTATTACTTAAAAACAATTAGGCCTTACCACTTTGTTTAGGCCTCACAATTTGATAAAATGTGCAAACTTTAAAGGTTGATTTTGTTATTATATAAATTAAAAGAGTTAACTGCATTATTTATCCCTAAACTATGACTATTATTTTAAATTATTCCTTAAAATTTTGAATATTCTAATTTCATCCCCAAACAATGACTCTCATTCTATAAATTAGTCCTTAAACTTTTGAACATTTTAATTTCATCGCTCAAACTATGACCCTCATTTTAAATTGGTCCCAACACTTTTGAATCTTCCAATTTTATCCCCAAATTCATCCAAATATGTAATTAGTTTCAACCATAATTTAGCATAAATTTTATTTTTTTAAACATATAATAATATAATTTGGCCTAACAATTTTATGGAAAAGGGGTGTAATTAGTATATACATATAATTTCGGATGAAATTAAAATGTTCAAAAAGTTTGTGGACTAATTTAGAATGAATGTCATAGTTTGGGGATGGAAATGAAATGCTCAAAAGTTTGAAAACTAATTTAGAATATCAATCACATTTTAAGGATGAAATTGGAATGTTTAAAATTTTAAGTACTGATTTAAAATAGAGATCATAATTTGAGGACATGTAATGCAATTAACTCACATTAAAATTATGTATTACTGATAGAAGCACATTAAAATTATAATTTATTCTTTTAATTTTAAAATTGATAAAAACTAAATTATTTTTTAGAGGGACAAATTTTCTTCTTCGAGATTAAAAGTTATGAAAGGTTTTTTTTATTAAAATTCTTTTAATTATTTGTATAAAAATAAAGGCTCAAGGGGTCTAAACAAATTATTTTGTTCAAACTTTTTAATTATATCAAATTTATTCTTAAATTCATTTAATTATATTAATTTTTTTCTTTTGATCAGTATTAATTATTATGATATTAATATAATAACTCACAATAACAATTCACATATAAATGATGATATGACAAATAAATTAAATTATTTTTAACCCAAATTTGGAGAAGAAATATTATTTTAAAAAATCAATTTTCAACTCTATAGAAAGGATGATGCTGCCATGCTCGACGAGCACAGATGAACACCATTAATTATGAGCACCGTTAATTATGAGTATCATTAAATTAATTTATAAAACGTTAAATTATAAATTACTAAACGTATAATTATAAATTAGTTAAAAATCTAAATATAATATAATTAAAATACAATATTTATAAAACATTAGTTTTTAGGGTAAACTATACCATTGACCACCTAACTATTTACCCCCTTTTACTTTAACCATTGATTTTTCAATTTTGTCAATCAGATCACTTAACTATTTAAATCTTGTCAATCAAGCCACATGCCGTTAAATTTAACGGAGGAGATGACGTGACAATTAATAAAATTTGTATAATTACACATTTAGTCCTAATTACTTACATGTTATATTAATTTGGTCTTAACTTTTATTTAATTCAATAAATTTAATCATCAATCCAATGGTGATAAGTGTCATTGTATGATTGGATGTTTTTTTAATATTTTTTATTTAATAAATTATTCATCCAATCAAATGGTGTCACGTGTCACAAATTGAATGAATGGAAAATAAATTAAATCAATAACCGCTACCGGTGGGGTTTGAACCTGGGACGCAAGCCAAAAAAATTGAGCACCCTAACCACTAAAATTGACTAGTATAAAAAACATAATTTATATAATTTATAATATAGTTAATGATAATAAATGACCTTATAAGGACTCAAACATGAAATAATTAAATAGTATGAAAAATATAAAATATATATAAGCAAATACTATAATTGATTAATAAATAAATATGTTTTATTTACATTTTAAATCATATTTAATGTAAAAATTAAAATAAAAGTGAATTTAATATGTTATAATTGAAATGTGTCATTTTACGTATTTTAAATTAATAAATTATCTTCATTATTCTAATTTTATTGAATTGAAATGTGTCGTATCTTATATTTTAAAATATTATAATGTCGATCGAACTCTAATCTTATTTAACAATTCTATATTAAAATATACTAATTCAATAAAATCAAGTTTCCCCTAAAATTTTCTTCAAATATATAATGAATAAGTAATAAAATATAAAATTTTTACTCTAAGCGGGATATAAACAAGCTAATGTATAAGTTAAAATGCTTACTACGATAAACCATCAACTATCAAGAAAATTCTAAGTCAACGAAGCTCTTCGTTATATTTCAATTATAATATATTTAAATTATTTTTAATTTTTTTATTAAAATGATTTAAAATATAAATAAGATATATTCACATATTAATCAATTATAATATTTGAGTATATATATTATCGTATTATTCAATTATTTTATGTTGGAGTTCTTATTAGGTCAATTTTCTTTTTTTTATTTCCATTAACTATATATATTATGTCGTGATATGTTTGTCATTTGAATGGTGTAACCCAGTAGTTGGGACGTTTGCTTCCTCTCTTCACATCTTCCACCAACAGCGGTTATTGATTCAATTTATTTTCTATTCATTCAATTGGTGACATGTGACACCATTTGATTGGATGGAAAATTTATTAAATTAAATAAAAATATTAAGAAAAAATCCAATCACATAGTGACACATGTCACCATTTGATTGAGGATTAAATTTATTGAATTAATTAAAAGTTAGGACCAAATTAATAGAATGTGTAAGTAATGAGGACTAAATGTTTAATTATACAAATTTTATTAACTGTCACGTCATCTCTCCTGTTAATATTTAACGGCAGATGACTTGATTGATAAAATTTAAATAGTTAAGTGACTCGGTTGACAAAATTGAAAAATCGGTGGTTAAAGTAAAAGGGGTAAATAGTTAGCTGGTAAATGATATAATTTACCCTAAAAACTAATATTTTATAAATATTGTATTTTAATTAAATTACATTTAGATTTTTTTATTAATTTATAATTATACATTTAGTACTTTATAATTTAACGTTTTATAAATTAATTTAAGGGTGCCCATCGTTAACGATACCCATCCACGCTCGACGAGCGTTGTAGATTTCTTTCCTATAGAAAAACTAACTCTCATTTGAACATTCCTTTTTAGTATGTAAAAAAGTTGTACTTGTGAAAGAAAATATTTGGAGGATCATATCCATCATGACTGAATATGTGTTTGATGTTGATATCATAAACTTGAATTTGATGAAAATGAAAAGTGGGAGCAAAATTGTTCTTGCTTTGCCATCAATGACAGTGTATTCAATTGCAATTTAGGTAAGTTGCTAACTATGGCATGGCTTCTCATTTAATTGATGCAATATCTATTTTCATGATTTTCGATCACCCTAAAACAGATTTGATCCACCAAATGCCTTTGGTGTCCTCTCCTTCCGGTGGAGAATCACTTCGTGGGGTCTTGTGCAGTTTAATTACATCATAGCCCACATCTTCAGCTTTCTGCACCAGCTGATTGTAGATTCCATCATCCATATGTGTCTGCCTGCATAATATCTACAACATATTCGACACCAAACCAATCATCAGCACATGAACCACTCGCATTGCTACAAACCAGATTGAGAGACATACATACCCAAAGATAATTTCTGCTAGGTTGACCAACGAGAGCATACTGGTAATCATCATCAATGTACAAAACCCAGTAATCTCCAACAACAGGGATTATGGGCAAGATAGGAGGAACATAGAACTTCACCTTCAGCTTTGCCTCGTCACTCTTGGGATCAGCCTTGTAGGCGGTGCCTTCTATAGACCCTCTTTTGCCATCATTCCATGTCTCCTTAAGTACATGCACTGTTCCATCTTCTTCCAGAGTATAGGTAGCCCTTGTGTTCATCCCATTCTTTGGCTGAAACCTTGACGGGAATGAAGCTATCTCATACCATCTTCCCATGTATCTCTTGATGTCCAAGTTCTTCACCACTTGCATTGTTTTCTGCGACATCGTTTCTGGTTTTTTTTCTTCCCCTTCTTCGCTTTAGATTGAAAGAGGGTTGGGGTTTAGGATTTGTCTCTGTAATCTGCTTACCTTGATAAGCTAATTTATAGACAAGAAAATATTTGGGGAAATACAAAGAAAGTTCTTAAGTGAGACGTGGAGGTCTAAGGGCCTTTTACGTGTATGCAAATGGGAAGTATGAACAAGTTTGGGTTCTGTGATAGTAAGATTGGAGAAGAAGCAAACTTTAGGAGGAAGAAAAGCAAATAATGGTAAGAACAGTCCAATGTTTGGTCCATTTCAGATGAGTTCAAATTTCAAAATTTTACTTATCTTGTAAGCAAGCAATATGTTTTTGATTTTGTGATTTATTGAAGTTTAATTACTACTTAATACTAATTAATTCTGTTATATTTAAGGAATTATTAATTCGGATAATTCATTCTAATTATTAAAAGAAATAGCATTGGCCATCAATACATAGAATCGTCCTTGTGCCATAAATAATCTAGGGCATAACTACATATTTAGTACCTTAATTATCATTTTTGTTCTATTTTGATCGCTTAACTCTTTTTTTAAATTATATCTAACGTTTAGTTTTAGTTTCATTTTGATTACCGGTCTTAAAAAATTAATAGCAACGGCGACGTGTTACCATAAAGTAATGTCATATTATCATTGTAAAAAAATAAAAAAAATGATACATTAGCCTGTTAATTTTTTAATAAGAGTTGAACAAAATAAAATAAAAACATAACGTTAAGTATAATTTTTAAATAATAATAATTAGATCATCAAAACAAAATAAAAATAATAGTTAGATACTAAAGTTATCCAACAATCTATGCCATTGCCAGGGATTGTAAAGGGCCTGCTTAAGCTTGGGCCAATCTTAGATTTTTGTGAAGTGGCGATTGAATACTGTCCATATTCATGTCTACCAACTATTACAAATTACAATTTCATTAGAAAGAAATGAAATACGATGAGTAGGTGGGTGGACAACTGTGTTAAACAACAGGTGTTGTAAGTCAATAAATAGGGTGGGTGAGGGGCAAGCTAGAGTTCAACCATTTAGGTGCGTCAACTCAGAAAACATCAAAGCTATCTATTTTGATTTTAACTTAAATGCTGTGTTTCTTCTCTGGTTTAATAATATTTCATCAAACATCTAACCTCTATATATATATGGTTTAGCCTCTTAAAAGCACAGAATTAAGTCCATATCTCATCCAGCCCAAGCAAAAACCATTAATGATATTTTTTTACTATGAATAAGATACTGCAGCACCTTTAAATCAAAACCAGTATGTCTAATTCTTTTATGTTACAAACAATATGCTTCTGTTTTTTTTTTAAAGACAAGAATCTCACTGCGGACAAGAGAGGGACTTGGTTCGGAGAATCAAGGAAACAGATGACCTCTCACTTATCTTTTTGTAGAAATTTTATTTAATTGATTGGATTTTTTCTTGATATTTTTATTTAATCAAAATTGATAAATTTATGTACATGGGGGGCACCATGTACATGGAAACAGATAACTTGATGAATTTATGTATATGGAGGCACAATGTGATATTATTTGATTGGATTGGATTGGATTGGATTGGATGGAACATGGTCCATGCTATAACCATCCATGTACATAAATTCATCAAGTTATCTTTTTGGGTAGAAATTTTAATTATCAAATATATAATTTTGGGGGTAAAGTATATAAATTGTCCTCTCAATTATAGGCACTACTTTATTGAGTCCCCGATTATTACAAATTACAAAATAGTACTTAATGTTGTTTTGTTAAATCTCTCAACTATTAAAAGTTATAAAATTATCGTATGACAATTCATATGTTCCAAACTCGTTATTCTCCTTTAAAAATTGACGGTCTTCTGAGCTAGACGTTAACTTGTTTATTGAGATCTAATAAAATTATATTTTAATAATGTTTACTAGTACCGTTGTTACTTTCAAGCACTAACTCGACAACATAATGTAAATAAAGATTTGATCCATAAAATACAAATCAAATAGTTCTAGGATCAAATTTTATCGTATTCAGTCAACATGTTAATGTCTAGCTCAGACGGCCGCTAATTATTTTACGAAAAATGACGAGTTTGAAATACATGAATAGTCGAGAGATCATATTTGTAACTTTTAATAGTCAAAAGTCAACAAATCAATGTCCTATAGTTAAAAATTATTTTATAAATTTTAATAATAGAGAGATTCAATAAAATAATATTTTATAGTCGGAAGATTATTGATGTACTTTACCCTAATTTTTTTAAAACAAATTGTCAAAAATATAATTGAATGAACCGGAGTGTATTTTATCCTATTTTGATAGCTTCCCCCAAACTGTTCTAACTTGTATAAAGAAGTTGGCAGCCAAAAACCAGCAGCAGCAATGGCACCTTGCCAATCTCTTCTCTTTCTATTCATCATCTCTCTTTATGTAACACTAACAGCACCAGCCAATTCATTGCCAGCATTTTTCCCTCCACCTGCTGCGTATCAGTCTCTGATCAAACAAGCCAAGGCTCCTAAACCAAATCTTCCATTCAAGACTCATTACTTCCCTCAAACTTTAGACCATTTTACTTTCCATCCCAAGAGCTATAAAATTTTCAACCAAAAGTACCTAATTAACACTCAGTACTGGCACAAAGGGGCTCCTATCTTTGTCTACACTGGAAATGAAGGGCATATCGACTGGTTTGCTGCTAACACTGGGTTCATGCTTGACATTGCTCCCAAGTTCAAAGATCTCATTGTATTCATTGAAGTAATGTTTGCTTAATCACTTCCTCGGAATTCTTTTTTCTGAGTTTAAAAAAAGGTTCTTGGGGAATAGCTCACAGTTGTAAGAATCCATAAAATACATTGCCCTGTTCTAACCCTGTGGGTGTTTTTCCAATACCCAAAGCAAATTCTGAAACACAAATCTTTTACAAAACATGATTTTCTTTCTTTCTTTTTGTACCTAAGATTAATGAGTTATTGGGTTTGTTTCTATTGGGAAATTTGCAGCATAGATTTTATGGGGAGTCGATGCCATTTGGGAAAGACTCGTACAAGTCAGCAAAGACCTTGGGGTACTTAACTTCACAGGAAGCCTTGGGTGATTTCGCTGTTCTGATAAGGAGCTTGAAGCAGAATCTGTCATCTGAAACATCCCCAGTAGTGGTCTTTGGTGGGTCTTATGGAGGAAGTAAGTTAAAAAAGAAACCCCATACAGCAAGAAGTTATTGCTCTGATATTGGTAGCAGTACTTGCAAGAACATCCTTTTCTGCTAGTTCTGCTAGTTATTACTGGTATATTGTTGCTATCATTTTCTTATGATTACGGAGAAAAAAAACTAATATATTTTTTCACAGTGCTGGCAGCATGGTTTAGGCTTAAATACCCTCATATAGCAATTGGTGCATTGGCTTCTTCAGCCCCTATATTACAGTTTGATAAGATAATCCCATGGTCGAGCTTCTATGATGCTGTTTCCCAGGATTTCATGGTCTATTCCTAGTTTTCACATAGAGATTACTTTGTGCTTAAACAGTTGAACTGTACATTTCTCAATGTTCTTCAGTTCTCCTTTATAACTAAAACTAAAAGGGGAATTCAGGATGTAAGCCAAAATTGCTATGAAGTGATAAAGGGGAGCTGGGCAGAACTGGAGACAATTTCGACTCAGAAAGAAGGCTTGGCTGAACTAAGCAAAGCTTTCAGAACCTGCAAGTGAGTCATGAACTGAGATTATATTAAGTAAACTTGCTTGCTAAGTTTGATTACCGTTTGTTAGATTGTCGTGTAAGTTAGCATTGCTAATGTTTTGAAGCGATTTTTGTTATGCATTTTACTTATTTTCCTTCCTTACAATTAATCTTTTTTCTTTCTTCGAAGTTCAGGAGACTTCATTTAACAGCTTCTGTTCTAGGTTGGCTATGGACTGCTTTCGTTTATACTGCCATGGTTAATTATCCGACTGAGGCTAATTTCTTGAAGCCATTACCTGCTTATCCCGTGCAGCGAGTAGGACTTGTAAATAAATTGTTTTGCATCGAGCTCGAAGTTCTAACATTTTCGAAGATCTGTTACTGATTTCTTCTTTTCGGCATTTAAACCATTCTTTACATGTAGATATGCAAGATAATTGATAAATATCCATCAGGAGCAACAAAGCTTAGCCGGGCTTTCGCAGCAGCAAGCTTATATTACAACTATTCTCAAACAGAAAATTGCTTTGAGGTAGAACATGAAGTTAACACTCACGGCCTTCATGGTTGGGACTGGCAGGTAACTTCTTTTTGGTATCAAATACAAAATGTGCTAATTTCAAAGCTTGCCTTTACCTTTTCCGTGTAGTTATGTTTGAGATACATGCTGGAGCCGAATGGTGATCAATGATCGATAATCAATATCTGTTGAACGCATGTTTATTATTCCCCCTGATGCATCGTAGCATACAGAAAAGTAATTCTCTAAATGATTTATGCAGACATGCACAGAGATGGTTATGCCCATGACTTGCTCTAGTGAAAGCATGTTTCCTCAAACTGGCTTTGATTATAAAATGTTTGCAGAACAATGCCAAATGAAATACGGAGTTTCGCCTCGACAACATTGGATCACAACTGAATTTGGTGGCGAAGTGAGTATATTTTATTCCTTCATGTCCCTTTCTATTCAGATGTACCATGTTCGAGAAACATGCCGTCTCTATTACCAGTGTACACAATTAGAACTATTAATGTCTCTCTCGAATGCAGAGACTTGAGAAAGTACTGAAGATATTTGGTAGCAATTTCAATCATAATGAAACTGATCTATGATTTGAATTATGTACAGTGTGCTGCGAAATATATCTGTTAGTATCATAGCTCTTGTCACAGAAAAAGGTATGTGAATTATGATTAAGCATTTCTCTGCTACATTTTCTTGACACATTTGTCAGCTGCTATGAACTTCAAGAATACCACGTTATGTATTAGGAGCTCACCATGTCGATTTCTGGGCTGCAACAAAAGATGCTCCTGACTGGCTTGTGGAACTGAGGAGGCAAGAAGTTGAGATCATCCAAAAATGGTTGAAGGAGTATTATTTAGATCTCAGACAAGCTTAAAATAAGGATTTAACAGAAGTTGAAATCGATCAATGTTTTGAAGTTAGAACTCTAATTTGCAAAAATTCTCATCTAATTGTCGGTTCTTCCCCTCAGACTGATACGGAAATCCTCCATTTAAGTTGCATGACAAACTATGTCCACTCAATCTTAGAAAAACTTGTATCTTTATATCAGAAACAGTTCATAGATTAAATAACATAAATGTCAGCAATACAGGGGAGTACGGTTTTGCTTCTAAATTTAATTATAGATAAAATAAAATGAATAAAAGAAGCCCAAATCCCACAGGACTTCTAGCAATGGCTAAATATATGCTTTTAAACACTAACTTGTATGTTCTTGGGCCTGGATAACTTTCCTTATCTATATCTTTGAATCTATATCTATGCAAGCCTTTCAGATTGTGGGGGAAATGTGAATTGAAATGAAAACCAAAGGTTAAAGAAAAGGAATTTGAGATACAGACATTAAAAAAAAAAGATGGTTGAAGCAGTAGATTCATCTTCTTTGAGCCATCATTCAATGAATCCCCTGCTTCCATAAACACAGAGAGAGGAATAGAGAATCTAAAAGGACAATTGTTGTAAGAGAGACGAGAAAGAAACATGTCACGGCGATCGGGGAATTGTTTAAGGTCATGTCTAATAATGTTTGCAGTAATTTCAGTATTGGGCGGTGTGGACCTGCTCCTTATTGGAGATTCAAGAATACCCTCAGATTGGCTGCTGATTCCAAATTATCTTGTCCTCCTTGCATCTGCGATTGCCCTCCTCCTCTTTCCCTTGTCAATATTGCCACTTGTAATTTACTCCTCCCTTGTTTACGCCATTTTATTTTATCCATGCTTCCATTTTGATTGGTTGTTTGTTTATTTAAGTGTGATTAAGGAACACCTATTTGCTAAATTTTAAGATATTGATATGCTTTTGTTGCTAATTTTGTTTATGGTGGTGTAAAACTGAAATATTTATTTACTTTATGTACTTTGTTATTGTTTTGTAGGGTTGGCCAATCTCTCAGACACAGGTTAGAGTTTCTTTGGAACAACTCACATTGGTTAACCATTTGCCTTGTTTCTTTAAATTCATCCATTTTGCTTGGTATGAATCATGGTGATGGCACAGATTGTTGAAGCAATGACCCTGATCTCAAGCAAGAGATGGAGAAGCAGTTTGTGGACCTTTTAACAGAGGAATTGAAATTGCAGGAGGCTGTGGCTGAAGAACACGCTCGCCATATGAACGTCACCTTTGGTGAAGCATAAAAGGGTGGAATCCCAGTAAAGGGAAGCCGAAAAATGCATCGCCGCCACCGAAACCTGTGAGGGAGCGAGAGAACGGGCTCAGGCTTTGCTGATAAAGGAGAGGAAATTTACAACAGTATGGGAGCATAGGGCTCCGGAAAAGGGTTGGGAAGGGGAATAAACTTTTTGTTTAAATTTCATAGTTGTAGTAATTGAAGCATTCCACCTTGAATAATTCGAGCACTGTTTCTTATACACACGTTAAGGGTTTCCACGTTCCATCCATGTTGCTTGGTGGTCACGATAAACCCATAAAAACTCGTGTTACCTTCAAATAAACCACGAAAAACAAAATACAAATGAAACTATAACTAAGAATAACTGAGAAACTAAATTCTCGAACTACAATTTCATCAATATGCAGGACATGAAGATAGAATTCGGAAAAAGGATATTTTCATCAATTTCAATAACAAATTAAATAAAGCAACCCATTGTATATCTTAGAATCAGCATCAACCTTTCTCATATACATGATCCGAGCGAGAACGCGTCAAATCCGAATTCCGCATCCATCAATGGGGACTCGTTATTTTGGTCCTGCATCACAGGAAATACAGTCATTTTTAAGGAACCTCTCCAAGAGTTTGAAACTAAGAGGTGTAATGGAAGTTCTCTTTTCTTACCGATTTGATCATGGACATCATTATACTCTCCAAGGGTTCGAAATTATTCGGACTGAAACCATTTTGTGGCTTAGTCTGCTCAAAGAGGAAGTCCTCGTTGGATCTCAATTTTGTGTCAAAAGTGGATTTCTCACCCTCAAGGTGTGGAACAACATAAACACCGTCACCACTGAACAAAGAAACGTCATTTAGTTTATCGTTGGTGACATTGCTTTGGTCCACCACAGGTCCACTTGCAGAAACCAGGGAGTCCACTCTGCTGAATGAACGACTGATATTTCCATTGTAATCATGTCTCTGATCGCCCCACTGTTGCTTTGTTGTATAATCGATATTCTGAATGACGTTATTTTGGACCAAATTGGGATATGTCTCCCCTAGAGTCCTTTGCTGAATTCTCCATGGGAGAAGTAAGATCAAGAGGGCTGTTACTAAGGTGAGAGCTTGCCCAAGAAATATTTCCTTGCAAATTATTAGTTGGCAATTGCTCAGTTTTGAAAGCTTCACTTGTTGACAATGAATTTGATGGGAAACTGGATAATTGAACCGCACCTTGCCAGTTTTCGCTGCATCTACCATGATCAAGAAAATTAGAACCGCGAACATGCATGTCAAACGATTCCTGATTCAGTGATGTCATGCCAAGAGCCGATTGATTTTCAAATGCACCACTATGTGTCAGTTGTGTGTTTCCATGTAGCAACAAAGGGTTGCCTGAGGCAGTAGGTACAGTATTACTTGAGCTAACAACCGTCACTCTGGCATCGGGAAAGTTCATACCAACACCAAAAACATTAGGATCGTTAACACGATCAAATTCCCCAAAGGGGTTACTGGACTTGTTCTGTGACAATTGGTTGAGATCCATCGATGTTGGGATCCCTTGAAACAAAGTTCCATTTTGATTCTGGTTTGCAGATAACACAGCTGGCTGGATCTTTCCAAGACCATTGATCGAATTGTTCAATATTTGAGAATGTCCCGGTTGAATGGCGCCAGAAGAAACCCCACGTAGGCTTAAAGAAGCTGAGGAGTTCAGTCTCCCAAACATTCCACCTGGCTGATAAGACGATAGAGAAGCACTCGAATGCCTTCCAGGTCTGGTCAATGTGCGAAACTCCCCAAAGCCATGCAGTGAACTCATGCGCAAGTAAGACGGATCTTTACTGCCCAATGCAGCAACCATGTTAGCTTGTTGAGTTGCAACGCTGCTGAGTCTTTTCAGGTAAAGTCTATATTTCTGCAAGACAACATAAGATAAGTCAGCAAAATATAGGAATCATAATGTAGAATGTAAACAATATAGAAGAAAGGGGATTACCTGTAGATGGCTTGCTACATTTTCCCTTGTGAGCCCTTCAACGTTCATAAGGTCGAGAATTTTCTTTGGAACGGCCTCTGCATTTAAAGAAAAGAGAAAAGGTGGTAAAAAAAAATGCAGTGGCATAAGTATCAGTGGATCAGAACAAAAGACTCTAATCTCAACAGTGGAAAACTCACTATCAAGACCCAATTGGTTGACAGCTGAAACAAACTTCCTATGCAGCTCTACAGACCAAACAACTCGAGGCTTTTTTTGAGTCGAAGAGTCCTCGTTCTCATGTCCGTTATCTTCATCGTCTTCATCCTCATCTTCACTTTGGTCCTTCCTTCTCTTATTGACCTTTTGGTCAGAAATGCACTTCGATGTCGGACCTGCTTCACCGGTTCCCCCCTGAGCCTTATCTTGATTTGCAGAATTGCTATGATCCTTCGAGTCAGGTTTCTTTTTTCTCACAACGTGTTGCCATATGTTTTTGAGCTCCTCAATGCGAACAGGCTTCAATAAGTAGTCACAGGCACCGTGACTAATACCTTTCATTACGAGCTTGGTATCGCTATGAGCTGACAACACTGGAAATTCATCAACAGAAAGACAATATGGTAAATAATTCTGAAACAATTCTAATCAAATTACTCAAATTTAGATCCAGAACAATTATGGGTTTATTAAAGCTTTTGAAACAAATACCACTCATTCCACAAACAATTAAAAAGACAAAATAAGGAAAAGAACAAAAACAAATGAGTATAATTCAGTGGCATAAAAATGGAAAAAAGGGTTAATTCTTACTGATTACAGGTAGGTCCATTTCAAGCCCCACAAGCTCAAGAAGCTTAAAGCCATCCATGTCTGGCATATTAACATCACTAATAACCAAGTCATATCTGTTTCTGTTTTCCCTCAGCATTTTGAGGGCCGTAATTGCCTGATTTGTTGTAGTAACTGCAGGAAAAATATACCATAAATGATAAGTCAAAAAGAAGCTAAATGTCTCAACGATGTTAAAAGTCAAACCTTACATACTACAATCACAAAGATTCAAATCAAAACGCATACTTCAATGCACAACACACAGATCTTCCTGATAGAAACACATTTGAGACAATTTATTTAACATTTTGAAAACAAGAAATGAATTTTTTTGGATTAAAGTTTTTTTTTTCCCGAATAAGAGAACAGAGAACAAGTAACTTATCAGCAGAATCTAGGAATAAATTTCAAGTTCAAAACAATACCTGTGACAAAATAGTAAAAGAAAATTTTCAACAGAACTCGAAAAGAAAAAGAATCACTAACCATGGTATTGGCATTTACGAAGCAGATTTTCCAAAACTTTGAGGCAAATAGGATCATCATCAACGGCTAAAACACGCATACCAATTGGAAACCGGTCTTTGCCACCATCTTCACCATGGGAACCACCCATTTTCTCCTCCATAGTCATTGATAAAATA